ACTTGTTAAGTCATAAGCGACACAGGACAGACCATAGTGACTGCAGTAACAGACTGGGCTAAACAAAAAACCATACAAATCCAACTATGGCTTGCTGTAATGTGTGAATTCACAGTCATTTTTGCAGTTCAACTTTTGTCAGCACTGTAAACTTTCTTGGGACAGATAGATAAACAGGATTAAATAAAAATATAATAAATTATATTAAATTAATCATGCACATTTAACTGCTTGTAGAAATGCCAGTCTTTGGTAGAAGGACAAGGTCCCTAAACACGAACAGAATGCACTCCCCTCCCATTGAGTAATCAGGGATCTCTGATTATTAAAATGTTCCTTATCAAATGATTTAAAAAAAGAACATTAGGAAGGAAGGGCTGCTGAAACATTCTAGCCAATTCAGGTTCAGTGAAATGTCATAATACAGGTAGTCGACTTACAACACTTGTTTAGCAACTGTTTGAAGTTACAACAGCACTGAAAAAAGTGACACGACTAGCCCTCGCACTTATGACCATTGTGGCATTCCTATAGTCATGTAATTAAAATTCAAGCATTTGTCAACTGGCATGTATTTATGATAGTTGAAGCATCTCCGGATCATGTGCTCACCATTAATGACCTTCTCAGCTGGCTTTGGACAAGCAAAGTCAATGGGGGAAACTGGATTTATTGAAACCAAGTGATTCACTTAACAACTGCAGTGATTTGCTTAACAACCATGACAAAGAGAACAGTGTTTCTCAACCTTGGTAGCTTGAAGATGGGTGGACTTCAACTCCCAGAATCCCCCAGCCACACAATTGTTTGCTTAGCAATGGAAATTATGGCTCCAACTGTACTTGTACTTGTAAATTGAGGACTATCTGTACAGTTTGTAGGTGTTGCCCACTGGGATTAATGGCGGGAAAGAGAATAAAGGCACCTCTCTCCCAGACTTTATCCAGCTCAGTTGCACTCTGAATGCTTGCATGGACAAGGTGACCTGACTAATTTAAAACCTAGCAAAGGGGTTCAGCTAATATCCTAGAAGACAGCAAAGACATCAAAATAAAAATGACTGTGGAAAACTCAGCCTGAACCTTAAATTTAGCCAAGATCAATGCATGGTTGCATATTTCTTTTTAAAAGTCAGAATTCAATATTCAAGGTTATACAATTGGAAATGCTTAGCTTGGGACAGCAGCTGAACATGAGTCATGAACTAAACATCTGATACTATCTTTAAATCAGCTAAGTTTTAAAAAGCTATTATGAGCCTTTTCAGGCCCCGGAATCAACAAAGTGATATGAATGGGGGGAAAAGGCAGTGCAATTTTGCAATTTTAGCATGCCTTACTGGAACCATAATATTCACGTTCTAAGAAGTTATAGTTCTACTTTATTATGCATGAATGTGAATTCATAGGGAAAGTTGTTGGGTCCAATTCTCACTTGAAGAAGGGTGCAGACAAGTTGGAAGGGATTCAGAGTCTTCTGGAAAACTTGTCTTCTCAAATGAAATTGAAAGAAGTGGAAATATGTATACAGCAGTGTTTTTCAACCTCGGTAGCTGTCATGGCTGGCTGGGAAATCTTGGGAGTTGAAGTCCACGCAGCTTAAAGCTGTCAAGCTTGAGAAACACTGGTATACAGTTCTCCAGTATACACTGGAGAAGAGATGGGACTCCTTATGAATACTCTTGTGTAAAGGCTGATTTAGAGGTGCCCACAACTGCACATAGGTGTTGCCGCATACCTATGCCGTGAATGGGTTGATGGGCAAGTGTAGATTGCAGATGGCTGCAGATGGGCCAATATCTGCAGCCATCGTTGTGCGTTGTGTGGAGATGCGCATCCCACCTGCCGATTGGTTGATCTGACTTCCTGTTCCATGCTTTGCTGTTTGAATGCCCCCAGCCAGAACGTCGAAATTTGCAGATTTATGAATGCAACGGCTATGCAATTGTCTATCAACAACAAAGACATATATTCCCTCACATGCAGTGCCAGAGAGCTCTAAGCCAAACAAATGGTTTAAATTATTTTACGATGTTTTGTTTTCAAAATTCTTCTCTAAGTGGCCCAAGAATGAAGCATCACTGCACCAACAGAGGTGATCTAATACTTTGGGGAGGGGGGTGGCAGTTAAGAAATATGAAATATAAATAAATAAATGATAGATTAAGGAGGAGACATTGGAAAATGAATGATAAACTTTCAGAGGGTCGTCTCCGCCAGAGAGTTGAGTAGAAAATGCAGGTGGTGCTTTCTAGGGGCATAGGGACATTCTGCCTGAATCAGCCTCCCTCACAGTCTCTGATTGCAGCCAGTTAGGAGATGGCTCAAGCAGAACAATTGCACACAATTCTACCAGGGCCTTGGATGTTATTTCTGCAATTATATGGTTGAGGAAACTATTACTAATAATCCAGACTAAACACCTGGCTGACTGTGCAACAAACTATAAGAAAGCAAAGATAGCAACAGTAGTTGGTACCTTGCAGTGGTGGGTTGCCCCCGGTTTGCACCGGTTCTATAGAACTAGTAGTAAAACCGGCGGGAGGCTCTGCCCGCCGACTTCGACATCATCAAAATGCTCCTGCACATGTGCAGAAGCTTCTGTGCATGCACAGAAGAGCGCGCACATGAGCGAGCAAAGCAAGCACGCACATGCGGCCCCGCTGCAAACTGGTAGTAAAGGTAAGTAGAATCCACCCGATACCTTGGGTGGAATGGTGAAACATCTGGAGCAGTACTTGCGGGACCGCCTACTACCACCAATAGCCTCCCACCGGCCGGTACGCGCTCATAGAGAGGGGCTCCTCCGGGTGCCGTCGGCCAAACAGTGTCGACTGGCGGCCCCCAGGGGGAGAGCCTTCTCTGTGGGGGCACCTACTATCTGGAACGAGCTCCCCCCGGAGATATGGAGGATCCCAGATCTGCGCACCTTCCGCCGCGCTGTGAAGACCTTTTTATTTCATCAGGCGGACCTGGCCTAATTTTCTCCCTCTTTTAAACAATTTTAATATTTTAACGTTTTTAATATCTGTAATACTTAAAGTCTAAATTGGTTTTAAATTGATTGGGGTTTTAATCTGTCTGGGCCAAACTATTTAATTCGATTTTATTTCTGCCTTTTAAATTTTGTATGTATGTATTTTATTGTTGGCTGTTCACCCGCCCTGAGTCCTTCGGGAGAAGTGTGGTATACAAATCAAATAGAAGTAAAAGTAAAAGTAAAGTAAAGTCAGAGGTGGGTTTCAGCAGGTTCTGACCAGTTCCGGAGAACCAGTAGCAGAAATTTTGAGTACTTCAGAGAACCGGTAGAACCAAATTCTGACTGGCCCCGCCCCTATCTATTCTCTGCCTCCCAAGTCTGATTGGGAGGAAATGGGGATTTTGCAGTAATCTTCCCCTGCCATGCCCGCCAACCCACACCCACAGAACCGGCAGTAAAAATTTTTGAAACCCACCACTGGGAAGGTGCCTGGACACCTTTACAATTGATAAAATTCCCCTCCGTCAGTTGCAAAAGGCAGCTTTCCTGGAACAGCTTGGAACATCCCATAAGATAAGACCTTTAACACCATCAAACATCTGCTCATCAGAGTTACCAGGGAAAGACTCGATAGGTGGATAATACACAGTACTGGAATGTAAAGCCAACCAGCTCTAAAAAAAGGCTGTGTAGCTTACAATATTTAAAAAGTGAAGGGAAACAATAATAAGGATATAATAAATAATGCTAGGATATGATATACTGGTATACTAGATTCTGTAAGCATTAGGTTCCTGTAATACACATATGCCTTTGTATTTGTATCGCATACATTATGCCTTTATATTTGTATCTCCTGTAACAAACATATTCTGTTATTAGGCCTGTAATGTATCTGGTATTTGTCAACATATGTCCCTACCATTTGACCTGAACCCATATCAATCTTCTCCGTGTTTTTTTTTTTTGTGCCATCTAAGAGCATGGTAGGTATCTCCAAGGGATAATTTACACCTCAGTCCTAATTTATGTTGATCTGGATAGACTCCTACTTTCCAGGGCCAAGGGGCCTAAGAGGCCAATTGAGTAAACAAAGAAATGCTCAAGATGACTAATTGGGAAGTTTCTATTCCCCCTTGCAGGGCAACAAGGAATGCACGGGCCTGGATTGGGAGGCCAGAGCTGGGTACTAAGCTGACGTCTCTGAGGGTATAAAAGGACGCCATACCTTCCCCAAGGTGTGGCTATCTCCTCGCATGCATTGTATCTGTATGTTCTGGATATAGTTCCACCCAGTATTTTGTTTTTGGCCATAAATAAAATCTGTTTTTTTGCAAGCCTCGTCTTGAGTCTCTCTCTTTGGCATTCAAGTGTATTTTGGGACCTTACAAAACAAACATGACTATCCAGACAAAACTATCCATAAAAGTGTAAAAAAGAAGAGTCAACAAGGGCTGCCAGGGGAAGAGAGAGGCCCCTGTCTGAAGGGTGGAAACCTCACCTCTCTCTCTCCCCCCCCTCCTCCAATGTGTGTGTGTGTGTGTGTGTGTGTGTGTGTGTGTGTGTGTGTGTGTGCCGCGCCTCCTTCAGCCTTGAAGGCCAGAGCCGGGCGCGACCCCCGGGCACGCGCTCCCTCCTCCCTCCTCCCTCCCTCCCTCCTCCGGGGCCTCCAGCGAGAGCCGCTCCCTTCCATTGCAAGACGCCGCGATCAACCCTCCAGCGCTGGACACGCCCTCCACCCACTCGGCCACGCCCCCTTTCCTTTCCCGGCTGCACGAGCCGCCCAGAGACACCGGCAGATACCAAACGCTTCGGCCGACGTCATACGCATGCGCAAACCGCCCTACGGGTCAACCTCCCCGCGCCCCCCTCCACGGCGAGCGCCTTGCGAGAAGGACAGCCTGCTCGGCGGAGGAGGAGGAGGGCGGTGCCGCGCCGTTTGCGCAGGCGCAGCGGCCGTTGGGTAGCTCCGGCGAGGGCCGCTCCGCGCAGGCGCCGCGCCCGCTCTGTCCCGGCTCGCCTTTCCCTCAGAGGCGGCGCCGCTCAGGGCAGGAGAGCCGCCGCCGCCGCCGCCGCGATGGGTTCGGAGAAGGACTCGGAGTCTCCGCGCCCGGCCTCCCTCCACGCCGCCGCGCCGCCGGCTAAGTGCCCGAAGGGCGGCGCGGCGGCGGCGGTGGGGGGGCCCCGGGGCCCGGAGGCAGCTGGGGCCGCCGCCGCCGCCGCCTCCTGAGCTTCCAGAGCGTCTTCTCGGCCGCCGCCTCGGCCGCCTCGTCCTCCGGCGCAGGGGTCCGCCGCCGCCGCCGCGCCAAAGCCAAGCCGGAGCCGCCGCCCGAGACGGCGCTGGAGGAGCGCGAGGCGGCGTCGGCGTCCGAGGAAGGCCTCCCGCCGCCAGCCCTGCCGCCGCCGCCGCCGCCGCCGCCCGCCTCGCCCACCGGCCCCGCCGCCGCCGCCGCCGCCGCCGCCCCGTCGTCCCCGGCGGAGAGCGAGGGCGAGCCCGGGGCGGCGGGGGCCGAGGAGGACGGGGGGGCGCCGCCGTCGGAGCTGGAGTGCCCGCTGTGCCTGGTGCGGCAGCCGGCGGGCAACGCGCCCCGCCTGCTCTCCTGCCCGCACCGCTCGTGCCGCTCGTGCCTCCGGCAGTACCTGCGCATCGAGATCACCGAGTCGCGCGTCAACATCAGCTGCCCCGAGTGCAGCGAGCGGCTCAACCCGGCGGACATCCGCCTGCTGCTGCGCGACTCGCCCCAGCTGGTGGCCAAGTACGAGGAGTTCATGCTCCGCCGCTGCCTGGCCGCCGACCCGGACTGCCGCTGGTGCCCGGCCCCGGACTGCGGGTGAGGCTGCCGCCGGGGCTGGGGGGCGGGGGGAGAGGGGGAGAGCAGGTGGGTCGCCTGCAGCAGGTCCGCTTTATCTTCTGCTCTTGAATGCTCTGGTCAGGGGCATCGCCTGCTTTTCCAGCCTACGTAGTTGGACTGAAAATGGGGGGTTTGTAAGGAGTTTTATTACTGTGACTGCGCGTGTTTTCTCTCCGTGCAAAAAAGTGGTAGCTACTCTTTGAAGGGATACACAATTAAACACAGTTATTGTTTCTGTGTAGGCATCCCAGGCTTTTCTTTCTAGCTCTTTATGCGTTGATATTGCTGCTGCTGCTTCTTCTGCCTGACAGAATTACCGTTGAGGTGTGTATACCGTCATTGCGTCCAGCATTGACGGGTCAGTGTGTTTGTTCTCAGTGGCTTTCCCCAGTATCTGTCACTAAGAAAAGAGATTCTCTAGGCTCTTTAATGTGGCCTAGTTAAAATAGTTACAATTTCGAAAGGGTTCTGTTTTTTTGAAAGTTTTATCATTAATATGAAATGTAGTGCTTTGCCTAAACCATAAAGCTGGTTTGCCCCTTTGGGTGGTGTTTAATTGGAGGAAAGGTAAGTATATCAAGTGACTTCAGAGTTGCTGAGATCAACCTAGGTTAGCTAGATGATAGTTCCTGCTAAGTAAGAGATCTCATTATGGCAGCTTACTTCATCAGTGCCTATGATTTAAGTAGTTGGGACTACATGTAGTACTAAGACTGGGTACATACAGATTTCATTAACCTTTAAGACCTTTCCAACCTTTCTTTAAGAGAAAGGTTGGAGAACTGGTGGTAGTTAGTGGCAGGGGATATTGTCTAATCATTATCCCAAATATTTTTATGATTTAATCTTGGACAGCAAAGCCTATCTTAGAGGAAATGATGGACTAGGTCAGTGATAGCTAACCTTTTTGCCATTGCGTGCCAAGAGAGGGGGGGTGGGGGAGGGTCGTGCGTGCACGTGGCCACGCGCATGGGTGCGCAACCCCCTCCCCCCCCACTCCTGGCACATGATGGCCTGGTAGGCCCATTTTTCTTTCTTACCTGGTTCCAGATCCTCTCTGTGTATCTGGGAAGGGCGAAAACAGCCTTTCCCCTCCCTTGGAGGCCCTACGGAGGCTGAAAGGGCCCATTTCCCAACTCCCGGTGGGACAGGAAGTGACATTTTTTGCTGTCCCCAGCCTCCAGAACCTCTCTAGGAGTCTTTAGGAGCCTCTCTAGGAGTCTCTAGGAGTCTCTGGAGGCTGGGGACAGGAAAAAACGTCACTTCCTGTCCCACCAGGAGTCGGGAAATGGGCCGTTTCAGCCTACGTAGGGCCTCCAAGGAAGTGGGAAAGGCTGTTTTCGCCCTTCCCAGATACACAGAGAGGATCTGGAGCCAGGTAAGAAAGAAAAACGGGCCTTCTCCACCCCGCCCCCCCCAGGCCCTCCAGAGGCAGGAAACAGCCTGTTTCCCTACTTCTGGTGGGCCCAGAAGGCCCGAAAATCAGCTGGCCGGCGCGCGCATGCGCCCCAGAGCTGAGCTGGCGTGCCCACTAATATGGCTCCGCGTGCCACAGGTTCGCCATCACGGGACTAGGTCTTCAAGGGGTATGAATGCTATGTGGGGTGGATAAGAATGGGCAGCCTTTTCGGGGGAGGGGGAGATAAGTGAGAATTTCAGTGGATAGGATAAAGATACCAAATGGTTGTCAGCATGTCCTGTTTGGGGCAAGTTTTTTCCCTGCTTTGCTTTTAACATTATGCTTAGTTAATTTTAATTTATGGATTTGGTGTGCCTGTCTTCAAAATGACTGTATAGAAGCCATTGATTTGCAGCTATTACTGTAGAAGGAAGGGATCTGGAAGGGGGCGGGCTGTGGACTCTGGTTCCAAGTATGACCCATCCCTCATGTAAAACTTAGTGCTTCCTTGTATAGAAGCAAGCTCTTGCTCAAATTACTGTGTTTCCCCGAAAATAAGACCCTGTCTTATATTTTTTTGAACCCTGAAATAAGTGCTTGGCCTTATTGCCATGTGCTCAAAAGCCCGATCTGGGGATGTCTTATTTTGGGGGAAACAGGGTAGTTTGTCAGTAAAAATAGGTTTTATGAGGATTTTGTTTGAATTCTGGTGAAGAAAGGTATAAAATTGATGATTTAGAAGCGAAGGAGGACATGATGCTCAGTGAGAAAGTGCAGTTAAATAAATAGAGCCATAATAGAACAAATGCTGCGAAACTGCTAGCAGACCAGAATGTGAATCATTGTGATTCCGGTCAGTCACACAGCTGGAGAGAGAGAGATGGCCTACTCTTGGCAAATTGTCAGAATGAAATCAACAAGGAGACTTTTGCTTTCGCTTCTGTTTTCTTTTAAATCAGCCTCCTTAGAGTTTCTCTGATGCAGAATTGAGGAAGTTCTTTGAGCTGCAGTTTCTTCAGGGGTTTCCTTTAAACTATGCAACTTAATAGAAAGGATGAGGAGTTATTATTGTAATAAATAATAAATTACATTGCTAAATGTAAATTATTAACTCAGATTCTGTATGTTTCTGTCAAATTTACTCATGTTTTGTGAGCATTATGGTTCATTAGCCAAAACTTACATTGCTTTTAGAAAAGTTTTGATATCCAAATAATTCTAAAGTATTGAAGGTTTTCTTCGTTAAATTCTGTGGAATTTCATAATCACTGTATCCCGGATGTTCCTGAAATTGATGTTGAAATATCCCCAAACACTGTTTCCTTTATAGAAAATTTGAGGGATTTTACTACATTCATACTTAATAGTGGTAATAGGTTTCAAACTATATTACTGTAAAAAAATATTTCTCTTAGTTGCGGAGATGTACTCTGAAGAAATGGCACCTGTTCCTTTATTCAGATGTTTAGCTTGCCTTTATTTTTGGTCAGCTCAAGGTAGCGTACATACATAAGTCTCCTGCCTCCTCTTTTCCCCACAGCCACCACCTTGGGAAATAGTTGGGGCTGAAAGAGAATGTCAGGCCTAAAGCATACCTATACTTATGCAGTCCAAAATACATGGAGACATTACTTTTCATATTTAAGTCAGAGTTTTGGAATAATGTATGGCAGCAATCCTAATACAATAGCATGCCAGTTCCATGAACAGTATATGCTGGTTAGCCCGGTGGTGTGTGTGCATATATTTGTACAGTTTGAAGAGTAACCTATATGTGAAGGTAGCAGTACATTGTCAGGATCTCTGCTCTCTGAACTCTTAAGGTCTGTTTGTGTTCTTGCTGGGTCCCAGAAAATGCATCTGATTCTCTTCTCTGTATATTTTATACAAAATCGTTGTTCCCACGTTTCAGAAACCAGTTTCTCTCTGAATTACAGTGTAAACGTATCCCAAGAAATACAGTATGGGGCAAACTGATGGCTTCTGCATTCCATCCTTGCTGTAAGCATCTTCATAAATTGGCAGACTTAGCTATTCTGCCTGGGAAGGTAAATTGCAGATCTAATGGCAAGAGTGTGTTTCCATGGCAATGCTGTCTTCTGCTGCACAGTGAGATCTGCATACAAATCTGGAAGTAGGTTTTTCTTTGTGGTCAGCTTGTGTTATAGCCTAGTATTTATTGGGCTTTCCCTGCCAGAAATATGGACAACATTCAGGACACCAGAATAACATCTGCATTATTGCAGTTAAATGAGAATAGTAGAATGTGGTGAGGCATGGATTATTCAGAAAGCTTGAAAAAAACGTAAGACTTTGTGAAGGAACACAAATTCAGAAAACAACCTTTAGTCCCAGTTTATGCAGGGATCCAGAAGGGCAATATGCAGAATTGAGTTTCCTTTATCGATCCGGAATGCTACCTGCTGGGGGTGGTGGGGGTGGTGGTGGTGATGGGAGAGAATAGAAATTAGATGGGAGAATGGAACGCACATATGGATGGGGTGGGGTCTTCTGAATATGTGTTTCTTTGCAAAGTTTGAAATTCCTTTATGCCTTCTGATTTCTCCCTAATATGAGCAAATATGATTTTGGTTACACATCAGTCAGAAAAAGAATTTCCTGTTAACATACAGAGTTGCTCTTATATTGCTTTAAACTAGCAAGCTGGTTGTCTTTCAGTGCTGCTGAGAGCTGAATGATCTGTGCCTCCTCACCCTATTCGTACTCTCTTCTTCTTATTCATTATTTAGCTATTCTTAAACAAGACTGTTCGGTACTACTGTATTTTGTGTCCCAATTGTGCATTCTGTTCTAAAACCTGCAGTTCATAAAAAAGAAAAAAACCATATTGAGGTCTGCAGTATGGATCTTAAACTGATGTGATGAGGCACAACCGAAATGTATAATGTGGGCTACGTATGTGTTTAGCTGTTGAAATCTTATGGTAATATGGGTCACAGGCAAGGTATGAGCAGTTAAAGAATTCCTTTTTTTATTCCTGAAAAACTAGAAAGTATGTTGCTTGTATAATACTCTACCAATGCAGTACACACAGTCCATTGAACTCTGATTCTGAAATGCAAGACTTGTGAGGTAGCCATTGTCCTTCATACCTTAATGGTCTGAGATGACTAGAAGGGGATTAATTCTGTAACAGGGATTCTGGTGATAAGGTTTGGAGTATTTGTGCTGCTGGATAATCAAAATGTCTGTTTGTATCTGTTGGGAGATTAGTGAGACTTGTGAAAAGGCAGTACATAAGCCAGCCTGGATTCCAAACAATTCAGCTTTTTAAAAACATTATTTCATTGAGGAATGGGATAGATATTTTTAAAAATCAGAATCCTGAATTTAAACAAGGTATGTAAAAGACACACTGCCAATAATTTCCCTGTATTCCTAGTGCAGTTTCAAGGATTTCCCCTTTGACTCAGGTAGGAGAAAGGCATTTTATGGTGAAGGCCAAGTAGTATCATTGGCAGTCAGTACTACTTACGCAATTTGGAGAATCTTTTCCAGGACAGGATGTGTTTTTCTGAAATACTTTTATAATGTTTTAGATCTCTCCTAATGGCTTACC